GCTGGTTTTGTAGATAATAAAGTCATATTAATTGAAAAGATTGTTTATTGTAGAAATTGCAATGTTTTTGATGGGTAGTTTGCATTTTCATTGATATATATTGTTGAGGTATAATTTTCATAACATGGAAGCAAACTGCAGGTACTTAAGTCTTAGTTACTATTATAAAAAATACAGTAAACAATGACCTGTATTATCAATATTGCCACCCACCCTTGCTCCCAGCCGCCTCCTCCTCCCTCTGTTTCCCTCCTACTGGTGTGATAAAACTTGTCACTCGGACAGGAACATAACACGCCACATCCCACCAGCCCTCGCTCCAACCCTCCTTGCTCTCCCTTCTCTCTGTTTTGTTTATTTTTCTCTCAATGACCCTCACTACCTCCTTTCTGCCAGTTGGAAAAAAAAGTTCAAGTGTTATTACAGAGCATTCCTGTGACATTTTTGGGAAACATAGACTCTCATTAGCCAAGAAACCGCTATGAGCGAGAGAGGATACGATTGAGGCCCACGGGTTCTTGTCCCCCTCGTGATGCTCTCCGATCTCTGAGGCAGGCTTCTAGAATTCCTATTGTATTTGTTCCATGATCGTGGCCACACGATGGCGATGATCTCTTGTCATCTGGTGGCCCTCGTGGACCCTTCTTCTTTGTGTTCCAAATCACCTTAGATTGAGGCTTATTAGAATTGGTCAGGCTGGAGTTCTGTCTGAGTTGCCCAGAACATAACTCCCTCTGTCCTTGTTCGACTGCTCGCATTGCACTCTCACTGAGACACATTTTTAAGGCAGTGGACCCAGGCAAATTACCACAAGCTCATAAAATGCTCCATTTTGCTACATTTCTCATTTCATTGGACACACTCTTTGGAATGCGTGCTGGAGATGGGCCAGTGGCAATGAACCGTGTTCTTTTGTGAGAGGTATTTAACCCTCCTTGTCTGTTGATGTCCCATGTGTGTCAGGTTAGCCAGTGTTTGGTCCATGGCTTCCCTGTTCTTGTATATTATGTTATGGATTTATGGTAAGATAGTTTATCATAACGAATCAGTCATTACCTTTAGTAATAAATAAGATAGGAATCACATATACAGGCAGACAATTGCACTTACATTTATTTGGCAAGGTTCCTTACACTGATTTACAATTTGCATGGATAAATTAGTCATTCACATTCATGCCACAATAAAAGTAATTTTATAAGGGGGAAGGGGTGGGGGGAGGTTGTCAGCCTGGGGGAATTAACCGCTTAGAATTACAAGGCTGGCCTGGATTGCTCTTATAGCAACAGGCCTTCACCAGTGATTCCTTTTCTTCACGGGGAATAATTAACTTAACTAAAGTCTTTGGGGTTTGCACACACACAGTCTTGTATCACTGACAGTCCTAGCTTCAGCTCTGCTGGAATAAAACGACGTCGCGGTAGGAGGACTACATAAGCACCCTGTTTCTTAAGTCTATGGAGCAGGAGGTCTTAACTAATCCACAGTCTAGGACCTACTGGCTAAAATGTGGTTGTGGTGGGTGTGAGACATGATGACCAATACAGCACTGTCATACTGGGCCCCTTAGTCTGGCTCACATACCTCGCTAATGAAATCTGACAACATCGTCACGCCCCGTCTGATGTCTTATCTTCTGTAAAACAAACATTTGAGTCAGGTTGCCTGGGCAGGCCTAACGCAACCCATGACATAACAATTGTAATGTACGTATTAATTATTTTTCTACTCGTAATTTTGTGATACACCAAAAAAATCTCATTTACATACACACACAATCCTACATACAGAAAGTGCAAACAAAAATGAAATAAATAATTTTCATAAGGTATAAAGATTTAAGTATATACAGTAGTACCCTGATTTACGCGGTCAATTGAACCCACAGGGTACCGCGGAAAGTGAAAACCGCGCAAAGTGAACAACAGAACATATGGGATTAATTCCAATAGAGACTGGCCCGACCCCCAAACTCCACTTTTTCCTACACAATACCTATGTTGTAGGAAAATTAACATCTAAATTTTATGATGGTATGCTCACACAATGAATATTTAAGAGAAATACAGTCGCCAGGTTAATGTCCATTCCAATAATGGACCCAAATCCCCCTCTTCCCAGCTCACTGGCCCCTACCTCTCTGAGAAATGATTGGGTGAAACACTAGATTTTAATGTTTAGTAATAAATAATACCTCAGACTAAAGTTAGGATAATATAATTGACATTTCTGGATTCCTTGCAGGTCAGGGAATATTTTGAATGTAAACTTCATATATTTTGCACAAAAGATAAAGTACAGGTTGTACCTCTCTAGTCCGGCATTCTGTGGTCCGGAAACTCCCGTGGTCCGGAACGATTTTAGTTTGTCCAATAGGTAGATAGGCAGCTTTTTTTTACTTATCTGAATTATTATTATTATTACAGGAGTATTAAATTTTTGCCCCTCAGGCCCCAATGTGGGTCAGTGACCTATGCCCGGGTGGGCTAATCCCCTTAAAAAAAAAAAAGCCGCGGGAAATTAAGGTTTGTTTACATCCGGCAGTTCGGCTGCTCTCTCTCTCTCTCTCTGCTTGTCTATACAGAGTACAACATTTAACCCTTCAATATATATGAGCAGTAAATAAGTGTTGCTTTCATATTCTTATGTAGAGTAATGACGATATATTTTCACATGTGCGCACTTACATACGAGCAGTCTCACTTTTTTTTTTACCATTAATGGTTAGCTACTTATATTGTTCCATTTATTAACATTAAATAACATTACAGGTACTTCAAGCAACCATATTCATTTTTTACATAAATTTTACTACAGCTAAACTCAGGGTCTTATTTTCTTCAGTTTTATATGTAGAACCAATCAGTCACTGGTTTCGTAAGCTTTAACATAAACAATGCCGGCAGCCGTCTCATCTCCTCTAATATTCCACGTATTATTAATAAATTGTATTGTTAATTTTGCACACACGTACATTGATTCAATAAAAACAAATTCAGAAACATTAATTAAAATATATATGAAAGTAAATAAGAGTTGCTTTCATATTCTTATGTAAAGTAATGACGATATGTTTTCACGTGTGCGCATGCGCATTTACATATGCGATCTCTCTTTTTCTTTACCATTATCGTTAGCTACTTCTATTGTTCCATTTATTAACATTAAATAACATTACTTAAAACAACCATATTAATTTTACTACAGCTACAACCAAGGTCTTATTTTCTTCAGTTTTATATGTAGAACCAGTCAGTCACTGGTTTTGTAATCAACGAAAACAATGCTGTGTCATTTCCTCGTGTGTTTTAATATTCTACGTATTATTAATGAATTCTATTGCTCATTTTGCACACATAAACATTAATTTAATAAAAAAGACATTCAGTAATAAACAACAATGAATCTTTTGTACATAAGAGAAATGACGCTGTTTACACGATTATGCACGTCGTCTGCACGTTGGCGGGCCGTTCAAACCCGTCGAAATTCAAGTTTCCGCCGTCAAAATTTTTATTTATTTATTTTTTTGTGTGTTCCAATAAAATACGTTAAGAATTAAAAACTCGCGAAATTTGAGAAGCTACTATACGACATTTAACCCTTCAATATGTCTTCAAAGAGACCATGACGCAGAGAAAGTGGTGCTAGTGCTTCCAGGCATAAGCACAAGTCACTATCTATCCAGGAAAAGGGTGAATTTCCATGGTCCGGCAATTTCCATGGTCCGGCACCGGTCAGGTCCCGAGGTTGCCGGACTAGAGAGGTACAACCTGTACTTGCTTTGTGTAAATCAAATTATTACATTAGATCTAAAATTTGTAAGTCTAATGCAAAATCCATGATGTTTATATTCAAAATGATCATCATATTGTAAGAATTCCAGCAATGTAAATTATATTCTGGTCCAGTAATTTGTATGAATTTTATGAGCAAAAACAAATATCTTCAGTTAATAAAAAAAAAAATATTCTTCACGACACTATCTGTCAATCAAAGTACTGTACCCCAACTTGCCTCCCCCCTCTTCCAACCGCGCCAGATGGTCGGTCGGTCCCAACCCTTCCCCCCACCCCCCACCTTCCCTCCCTACCAGAGAAATGTTGGGTGAAAAAACTATTTTTTAACTTTTAGTAATAAATAATACCTCAGACTAAAGTTAGGATAATATAATTGACATTTCTGGATTCCTTGCAGGTCAGGGAATATTTTGAATGTAAACGTCATATATTTTGCACTAAAGATAAAATATTTGCTTTGTGTAAACCAAATTATTACATTAGATCTAAAATTTGTATGTCTAATGCAAAATCCATGATGTTTATATTCAAAATGATCATCATATTGTAAGAATTCCAGCAATGTAAATTATATTCTGGCCGGGTAACTTATATGAATTTTATGAGCTAAAAAAAATAAATTATACTTCACGCGTATATGAGTAGATGCACCGCGGAAAGTGAAAGTCCGGTTCTGGCAAGGTACCGCGTAAATGAGAAATCGCGGAAAGTGAAACCGTGTAAAGCCGGGTAATACTGTATTAGTTTTCACCATGAAGCTGTGTGGTGAGTGTGTGGAGGTAGGAGGGTCCACGGTGCGAAGCTCCATTGCTAGGGGTGATTGCAAAGCAGTTTGTACACTAACTTGCATGATTCTTTCTCATTTTATGCTTTCATTACAGTATTGCTATTTATATGCCTTTGTTATTACTGTTTATATGCCAACAATTTTAAATTTTAATGTTACAGTGTACAATTAAAGCTACTTTTTGGGCTGAATCTAGTGATCTGAACTGAGTCTTCACAGCCAGCTACAGAGAGTTTACTGTACATTTGGTTCATTTTAGGCCTGTAGCTCCAAATTAAAAAAAAAACCCTATCAGGCAATCCCCAGGTTCCAAGCATATCATGCCTGTACTTAGTACAATTTTACATGAAAGAAATTCTTTCTTGAATGGTTAGTTTGAATTCCAGTATACAAGATTTACTTCCTTCTACTAGGGTGTGCCACCCACATATGAAGAGGCTGTAAGGCACCGACCAGCAATCATGTTTGAGCCTCATGGAGGAAACTCAGGAGGTCGATACACACCACACAGCCATCGAAGTAGAGGACACAGGGTGGTGGTGCCGGGTGTACGGCGATCACGTCACAGAGACAACCCAGACAACATCTCTTACCAGTCTATTGGATCAGCTCGTCAATCTTCCAGGTTTGATGAAAAGATTTTTAGTTTTTAAAATCTTTTCTTCCCTGTTAGCATGGCAGATTTGTGTAAAAACCGTGGGTTTTGTGGGAAAGCACCAAAATGATTTCAGAAAGGCTCTTATCCCCTTCTATTCGCGAGGGTTACTTCCTTGGAAATCGTCGCAAATCATGAATTCACCTTTTGGAAAAAATAGGGTATGGTACCATGGCTACCAAGATTATCAATTTTGTCATAATATTTGGGGTTAGAAATGATAAATGTTTCAGAGATGGTGTTGATGTTTATATGGAGTAAGTTTTATTATAAAGATTAATAAATTTAAACAAAAATAATTGTTTTCTCTTCGCATAATTCTAAGTCTGAGTATGTAAATAATCGTATGACTTATATCACTCAGGATGTTGTGGTCCACCCTTGTAAAATTGTTTTCTTTAATACAGAGCAAAAGAGTAAACTTACGATACTGTACTCGAATGTGGCTTAGAAATAAAAAATAATAATAATATAAAACTATAAAATAAGAAAATGAGCATTTGTGTGTGGGTGTGAGGGGGGGGGGATGGTGAACGGATGTATGGAAGCAGTGAGCTGTACTGCATAGCCGACTCACCCATGTCCCTCCCCCAATGTGACTTCACAGCATAGACACATAAACACACACACGTCTCACTCAGCTGGCTGAACTGTGTGAAGATGCCCAGATGATCAGTGCCGGAATTAGACCTGTGGAGGCCCACGGGCAGCCTCTTTGTGGAGGCCCCCCTCATTATAACTACCCAAGAGGGTGGGGTGGCGAGTGAAGCGGGAATATTTAGAAATTTGAACACTTCTTTGGAGAATTTTGAAGCCATATGCAGTTATATTGAGGAAATTAGAGCATTGAGAAAATTTTAATTAATTGTATATTTATTGATAGTGTACAAATTCCCAACACACACACACACACAAAAGTGACAGATAAACATGAATTTTAAAGAATGAAAATAAAAATAATCCAAATGAATAAACAAATAAATAAAATATTGTAATATGTGGAGGCCCCCAGATTGTGGAGGCCCCTGGGCAGCTGCCCACTTTGCCCATTCCTGAATCCGGCCCTGCAGATGATGGTTTGAGTCTTGGAGGAGCTAGCTTTTGTACATAAAATATATGATGTGTTATGTATCAATTTTATTGTTTATCATAGCATTTTTTAATGCAGTTATAGCACAACTGGTGGCAGACACAAATGAATGACTTCAGTTGTGTTTGGATTGTTGGATTAAATAAGAAATTTTACTGAACAGGAACAAAGGAGACAAAGTTCAGATATCTGGAATTTGGATAAATAGAATTGCACTGGAAATTAAATAAAGTCTACAACATTGAATTTACCATAAAAGTGGAGACATTCTGCATACAGTGGCCTGACATGAATGGAGGAGGTTGTTGGGTGTTACTGGGTCAGTATCCTAGATACTCTGTGGTGCAATGTATTGTACCTTATACCCAAAATATTGGGGTGCTACACTAACCTCCCTTCCCATGTCCATGTACTGGGTGTAGTGAGAAGGGGAGGACGGTGTGGCACACACGACTTGGAGTGCGTGCGTGCGTGCGTGCGTGCGTATATGCGTGCGTGTGTGTGTGTGTGTGTGTGTGTGTGTGTGTGTGTGTGTGTGTGTGTGTGTGTGTGTGTGTGTGTGTGTGTGTGTGTGTGTGTGTGTGTGTTGGTCCTTTTTTTATATATATATATCACACACAAATATATATATTAGTTCTGGAACTAGTAAGTGCTGGGCTGAAGTAAACACTTTGCTGTTTTTTCTTTATTGTGTTAAAATATAGTTTCACAGGTACTTCTCTACTAGGGGAAGTGTCTTGAGTGCACTTTTTTATGAGAACACTTACCTTATTTACTTGTGTGTAGTTCGAGTTTTTAAGACCAAATTTTTAGGCAAAAAATTGGGGGTTGATCTCTATATGGGTAATAGTTTTGTTAGGTTGAATCCGTGCATGATGGGAAGGGCGAGGAGCAACTTTTAGCTTTAGACATGAAAAATATTTACCATTTACTGCCAGTAAACAATGGAAACGTAAAATATGTACCAATTAGTAATGAAAAGCTGTGCAGTGCCTTCAGCAGATGAAGGTCGCCAACTTACAATAAGCTAACTTACCTTACAACGTGCTTTCAGTAGTCTATGCTGAAGTTCTTAGCACGAGCTTATCATATCATATATACAGTATCACAGTACCCATTGATCTACAAAAAATACCGGTAATAAAACCTTTTCAATATTTCACACTTAATAGTAATGCCCGGTAATCCACCTCAACCTCATATTGTTTACAACGATGCACGACGCACCACCAGCTGTTGAGTATCAGCTAGACGGTACACATGTTTTTTTAATCGTTTTCAGTTAAAAAACTGTTACATCACAGGTATATTTTACCTTAAGTGTGCCTGAATGAATATATTCTCGGAAATAAATAGTAGTTTTGCTGAAATGTGATGTATTTCAATGTAAAATAGGATAAAATACATGACGAAAACAAAAGACTTTACCTAACCTTCCGATGATCAAGAGATGTTACTCGTTTTTTTTAATAGTTTTCGGTTAAAATACTGTTATATTACAATGATGTTCTATTCATACTGTGGTTGATATAATACATTCACGGAAATGTTATATTTTTGCTGAAATGACGTACGTATTACAGTGGAAAGTGGGATAAAACCATGACAAAAACAATCGACTTTCGCTTTCTTTCGTTGTTTAAAAGATGTTACCCTAATCGCTTTTTGAATGGTTTTCAGTTAAAAAAAAAGTTGTATTACAATAATATTCCCGCCTAATTGACTTGAATAAATACTTGAATGGAATATACAATATTTTTGCTGAAACTACCCGCATTTCAGTGTAAAGTGCCGTAATAATGGTAAACAATTTGCCTTTGGCGCTCAGTGTTTCAGGCACGGCGACCCTCAGTTTAAAGAACATAGTGTTTTTAGTGAAGGTTTTGCTGTTCCATTACCCTCAAAAACTTGGGTCGACCTATAAACGAGGCATATCATAAATTAATGATTTCTTGATCAAAAAATCAGAGTCGACCTATAAACGAGGTAGAATTATAGACGAGTATATACGTGTAAGTGAGGTGTTCACTGGGTAACAAGTGATTTGAGTCTACCTGCTCTCTCCTCTCACTCACAGCGTGAGAGTCAAGGAGGAGCGGGCGAGGTATTTGCTAAATCAGCTTGACCTGGCTCAACCTCTGATGAAGTTATAGACCTCAGCATGTATGACATGAACAACTACTGAGTTATTGTTGAATAACTTAGTGAATAACAACTGAGTCATTGTTGAATAGCTTAGTGAATAATTTGGTATTATACATTTAAGTACAGTGACCCCTCCGTTAACGAACTCAATCCGTTCCAGAAGGTCGTTCGTTAACCGAAACCATTGTTTCAGTGGGTTTTTGGGTAATTGGTTCCAGCTCACCGAAAATTTCCTAAATTCAACAAAAATGGTAGAAAAGTTCACTTACTTTGAGGTGTGTATGTAGAAGGCTCCTGGATGATGATGATGATGATGATGATGATGGGATTTAGAATGGGGGTGGAGGAGAAGGAAGAAGAGAAGGCATTGGGGTGGAAGAGAAGTCACCCCATGGCGCCATTTCACCCATAAAATTTTAGCTCTATTGGTGTAATTCAAGATTATTTTCTCTAAATCAACACTGCACTGCATTATATATTGTCAGTATGTAAAATATATTTCAAAATGACCAATAATTTGCTTGGAAACACAGAAAAAAAGCGTTTAGTAGAAGAGAGTCTCAAGCAAGATGTTACCTCCAGTGAAAACAGAGAGACTAACTCCTGTTTGCTGTGTTAAGAGGCTGGATGCCGCGCATTAAACTAGTCACTTTACCTTCAATTATGTTCAATAATTGTTAAAATGACTAAAAAATTGAATATTAAACTTTTAAAATTATTGAATAGTATAAACTTCTTGATATTTACTAAAATAGTTAGGAATTTAAGTCCTAGAACCGATTAATGTATTGGCGGACTGATACTAAAGCTGGTTGCCCGGTCAGTGCAAGCGAAAACATGTTGAGGTCGGTTCGTAAGAACTTCGTTAACCGAATTTTTTTTCGTTAACCGAATTGAAGATCCTTATGGAAGGCAGTTCGTTAATCGAAATTACGTTAACCGAGGTGTTCGTTAAACGAGGGGTCACTGTACTGTATTATACATTTGGGTGAATATTTATATCATACAAGTGGTGCTGTTACACCACTCGGCCACCTCCAACTGAGACCTCACCGTTTAAATCCTAGGTGTACCGAAGAAAGTGTGCTTTAGCTAAACTTTTTCTTCTTGCACATACTTTTGCAATTCCTTTCAAAAAGTATTCTTAAAAAACTATTGTGTACCTAGAAGAAATCTTCCTGTAACAAATTATCATAACAATCAAGGAAATGATAAATATGATGGTAGGTATAATGAAACCAGGTAGGATTATACAGGAAGATAAATATAAAGGAAGAGAATCCTGTAAGTCCGGAAACTGTCTCATTAATATAAGATAGAAGTTTAAGCTTATCAGAAACAATATGAAGATTACTGAAATTTATATTAAGGGAAAATGGTATGGGAACCAGTTCAAAAGTAATGTTTGTGACAAATGCAAGGTGATGGTGAGTAGGCAAGGTTGTGATTGCGTTACTGCTAATTTCACAATAGTCCGGTGCTATATGATAACCTTCTACTACTAAATGTTTGCCTACATCCTGACATATGGATCACACTGATTTGATTTGGGAAATAATAATATTGCACATTGTTGACATGTGCGTGAAACACTGAACTATGTGGTATTGGAGTGTATACACATTGTTGTAGAGCTGTAGAGGCATTAGTTTGTACTATAGCCAATTCACATGTAGCTTCTGCAGCACGTTTGAAAGTGAAAGCATACGCAGGACAAACATGCAAGTGTAAATAT